GTTTGGTATGTGGATCAAAAAATGGAGCAGAATTCGAGGAATTGCCGGCCATAAGGTTTGTATGGTTCTGCCAATTTCACTGCTCTTCGAGCAGAATCTGCCACCTTTTCGAGCAGAATCCGCCGGTCACTAATTTAGGCAGGAAATAACGGTTAAACCTGGTGAATGTTATCCCTTATAAGCCGTGCTGTCATGGTGCCAGAGTCGTTGTAACGTTGCAAAGTGCAACAATAGTGCAAGGGTGCAGTATAGCACCATCATTGGCATAGTTCCAGCATAATGTAGCATAATCACTAGCATAATCACTGGCATAACGTTAATGGAAAGTATAATTCAGCAATGTACCGAGCATACTCCGCCAAGGGCTGTTTGTTCTGAGTACACCATAACATTAGATTGGACGGCAGCATAGTATAGCACCATCATTGGCATAATGTAGCATAATCACTGGCATAATTTGGGCACAATGGAAAGCATAATTCAGCAATTTACCGAGCATAATCCGCCAAGGAAGGGCTATACCAGGGTCAACCTTACTTCATTTTTCTTACCCGTGTATCATCTTTGTGTCTTTGTACACTGATTCATACCATGTATGGATGTGTTTACAGCCTTACAGTATCATTATCACGAGTTGTTTGCCACCAAACCCAGGCAATCCATCTTTCCAGAAACAATAAAAGTACACGTCTCCAATACTAGTACAGTCTCCTATAGTAGTACAGGTCTGACCACCTTCAAAAAACAAAAGTATTGTACATTTTAATATTATACTATAGAAAAGAAAAAAGACCAAGGAATTACACGTTACGCTATAATGTCCACTAACACCACCAGATACTAAACCATCAGCTCATGCGATAGCATTGCACAACACTGACCGACGGTGCAGTGACGTTCTACAACTAACAACTAACTGGCTAACACTCTAGCACATCTTGGATGCGCACTCCAACAGCCTTCCAACTTGAAAGGTGCTAAGTAATAATTATGATACCATAATATTAAAAGAGGGGAAGGTGAGCGCAACCAAGACAATCATGAGCTGAAAGTCTCAGCTGTGAAGAACGTTGGCGGATGTTCATGCATGCCGATGACGATACTGGCAAAACCATTGGACAATACGGTCAAACCACGATTCAAGGACGCAAAGCAACATTCCACACAACTTGTGTGGCTCAAAGCTGCAAAGATCAATAAAAGGGGAAGCTATGCAAATAGGAATCATGCAAAACCGAACATGTATCTTGTATTGCTAACTAGGTCACTTCACCACTACATGCATGTACCGTCAGCTGTATCTGTTCTCATCCTTTTCCTGTGTTATTTGTTGAAGTAAAAAGTTGACATTTTATAGTCAACCGTTTCCAGTTATTTTATTGTAGTAAATAGCTAACATTTCGTGTGTTTTTGAGAGTGTCTTATTAAATTTTATTCCTTTTTGCCTATTCTGCAGTTGCATGCGTGTGTGCTCCTCATTGGCTTCGCTCGTACCTCTTTTCTTTTGTTCAGTTGGCTTACCGGTATGCGAAGGCTAGCCATAGCAGCCAAGCTTGCTTGGTGGTGTCAACGCGCGAACAAGCGTAATATTAATGATAACTTTGAACCTTACAAGTTGGAAGGCTGTTGGAGTGCGCGTCCAAAATGTGCTGGAGCTGTTAAAAGTGTTAGCCAGTTAGTTGTAGAACGTCAGTACCGTCGGTCAGTGTCGAGCAATGTTACGGCATGAGCTGATGGTTCAGTAACTGGAGGTGTTAGTAGACATTATAGTGTAACTTGTACATGTAGTTCCTTGGTCTTTTTCTTTTCTATAAATTTATCCTTGGCTTTCCAATCGAGTCCATTCTTGCACACCTGATGAGCCGTCCTTATCTATAATGTATACAGCAAAACGATCATCGTGTGAAACTACTGCTTGTTACCGTAACCGACGAATGTATGGGGAATCTTGGGGATGCATGCGATTGACTGATTAGCGGGCAGTTAACTCATTGGATTTCTTTGTATTCTGTATCTCCGTATCGTTATCTTTTCCTCTAGCCCTCTCGCTTAAACAAGCAAAATAATAATAATAATAATAACTCAGTTTAGCTACCACTCCCAGTCATCAATGGTCCTACGGATTCAAGGCCAGAACCCAGGTAACGAATAGACATACATGTACTCACATAGTGCAATCGACTTGTGATCGTCTCACAGTCACTGGTCTACTCGAACGGTTATTTTTTTAATGAAACAGGTCTATCCGCGAGTACTACTAGTACTTAGTAGTACAAAATTTCATGTAATGGTCTTCAGAAAGGTCTCCACTAATGCCGCCCGACCAACTCCAGAATCCCATCCGCCCTTGAGGAAAAAAAGCCGAGAGAGCAAAACGCCGGCGAGCGAGGAGTGCCGAACTAGCACAGCACAGAGTATTACCGGTACATGCATGTCTGGTATGAAGTTGCCCCACCTCACCTTCCAACCCGGCAAATATTTAGATTTTGATAAAAAACGATTCAAAGCCTCTCAATTATTACTATTAGTATTACTAGTATAGTTGCCCCACCTCCATTATCTGATTTATCACAAAACATTTGTCATGAACAATGACTTGCTCATGGATTGTGCTTGATGACCCTCCCAAGGCTGATTGGTTGTTTATTAGTGCAACAGATGATTATGCGATCAAAGTTCTAGTACTATTAGCGATTTCAAAAAGTTCGTCTCATTTGCTTTTTAATGTTTTTATTTTTACTTTTTAGCCTGACGCGGTAGAAAATGTGCAGTTTCAACTAATTACTTTGAGAGATTGGTATTGATTTATTTGAATTCGGTATCTCAACAGTACAATGTACAACTTGGGAAGATTCGAATGACATAGATTATTATTACGAAGTAGTGCAGCCTACTCAAGCTCAACTGATGAGGGGTGAATTCCCCGAAACACTGTGTATTGAGCAGGGAGTGGTGCTTTCTTGCAGGTTTGCCGAGTCGAAGGTTCGATGGACTTCTCGTGTGCTCTGGATGGCAGTCGTGAGTCAGTCAAGTGTCAAGTAAAGTCGGCGGAATAGCGCGAGCTCCGGTGTGGGGAGCGAACCTTTCTTATAGATTATTATTATTATTATTATTTGTGCTCCCGCGTCAATGGGCTCGCCCAAATTCGCTTGCACCGAACCATGCGAAAAAAGGCCGCCAGCAGGCAGGCAGGCAAAGAAAATAGAAAATGGTGTCACATAAACTAATACAAACAAGAATATCATTATTGATGACATTAATACTGAATGAATGGCAAAGGCCATGTGAATACGGATAATACGGATAATCAGAGTACCAACAACATCGAATGACATAGATACATAAACAATAAAGTGGAGTAGGTGCTACAGCTGATCATTTTATCGCAGGTTGTGGGAGATTTCGACTGTACGGAAACGATTTTCTTGTTCAACCGCCTAGCGCTCCTCCGGTCAGGCCCATAGCCTTAGCTCTGTCAACTCATTTTTTTCACCAGTTCCCTCGCAAACCGCACCAACACTTGACTTACATCAGAAACAACCATTGGAGGCATCGATCTATTTCCACGACTGTAACAAAACATGCTCTCAAAAACTCCGTTGAAGCAGGGAGTCGTTATATACGTACATGTATACGACTCCATGGTACGTTTGAACCTACCAAAAAGAACGGAGAGCTGGGACCGCACTTACCCGGCCCGGCACCGGACGCAGAGCAAAGGAGGATGACAATCATGTCTACACAAACGACAAAGCTCCCCCCCCCCACGCTTGACTGGCCCTCCCCTGGCCTGCCCTGGGGGTTATGAATTCTCGATATAAAATTTAAAATACGAACAGCGCGCTATATATATATATATATAGCGCTAGCGAAGAAAAACTAGAACTAGAATGTAGAAAGGCAGTTTTCTCATGATATGATTGCAGAGCAAGAATGTAAGTATTGTCGAGTTCCACGTTCCTAATAACAAGTATGATGGCAACTGCCCAGTGCCGGAGGATGCTGGCATCCACCAGACGGGTGGTTGCTGCTCCTGTCAGGAAGATAGAATGAAAACTGAAGCAGAGGAGTTGCAAATGTGTAATGCGCTGCTGGAGTACGCCCCACTTATCTGGATTGGAGCGTCATCCAGCCACCTCAGCCGACTGGACCGAGTCCAGCACAGGGCCCTCGGAATCATCGGTCCGGGAGCAATCCTGCCTAGTCTGGCAATCAGACGGACAGTAGCTGCCCTAGCTTGTTTATACAAGCTACAAGTAATTACGGGCCCACCTCAACTTCTCGCGGTTCTGCCAGCTCGCCGTCAGCAGTCGGCCAACCCGCGAACCCGGAGCGACCATGCCAGCGCTGCTGGCCACCAGTTTCAACTGGACGCCAGCCTGCCAGCCTCTACCCCGTTAGTCCTGAAGCAATCATTTCCCCACTGTGTGCTCCACCAGTGGAATGCATTGCCCTGTGATCTGCTCCTGCATCCTCCCCATCGCAGCCGAATGCAGGCATTCAAGACGCAGGTATACCGCTACCTGCGCGCCGAGAACTGGATGTGGGCTACTGACTCAGTCTAATCGCACCTATCTAGTATCTACATGTAGGTATTGCTCTCTTTTTCCTTGTTTTCTCTACTCTCTGTCTCTCTCTCTGTCTCTCTCTCTGTCTCTCTTTCTGTCTCTCTGTCTCTGTCTCTCTGTCTCTCTCCCTGTCTCTCTCCCTGTCTCTCTCCCTGTCTCTCTCCCTGTCTCTGTCTCTGTCCCTGTCTCTCTCTCTGTCTCTCTCTCTGTCTCTCTCTCTGTCTCTCTCTCTGTCTCTGTCTCTGTCTCTGTCTCTCTCTCTGTCTCTCTCTCTCTTTTCGCTATATACTTTTCAATCTTTTTTTTGTTTCTCTTCTTCTCCCGATTTTCTGATGCGTGAAGTAGGCGCGGATGCCGAGACCATTGGTCGGCGGAGCCTGCAGCACCCCATCACCACCGCTGCGTTGCATTTGCAGCCCCATTCAGTCAATG